ACGCGGACTGATCAACTTCACCCTCCGCATCCGAAATCCCAGGACCAACTTCGACCGAATCCGGCGACACCACGATGGGATTCCATTGATCCCACATGCGTGCCTTAAGGTCGAAAATTTCAGGCTGCATATCTCTTTCCTGATCCAAGTGTCCCCACCGCACGGAGTATTCCTTAGCAAATGAATACCCTTCATTCTGAGTTAGGGATAACCCATGAACGATTCCGCGACATTCGCGATAATCACCATGCGCCCGTTGAGAAACTTCGACATCTGAACAACCGATTGCAAATCGCTCACGACGAGCCTTCATCTCTTCGGCAACCTCTCGTTTGCCTGCACGACGAGCACGACGAATCCTTGTGTCAGAGAGCTCCTTGGCACGACAAGATCTAGCCGCACACTCATCCCTCACGCGAGCAACCTCCCTCGCAACCACTTCTTCGGTTCGGTTGGCCTCGACCTCTGCCCGAAGACAAGCAACTTCTTTTTCAGCCATGTTCGCTCGAAACTCGGCAAGGCGAGCTTCAGCAGTACGGCTGTCTAGGGCCCGGCTCATGACAAGAAACCCTACCAAAAAAAAAAAATCAATTAAGCAATATCATAGAAACTGCTCGAAAAAGAAAACAATAAACACACGTACCTCCTTGGCTTTCTCAGACCCCCTAATAAACTCCGGGACTTGATCATGGTCGATGTCCGGAAGATGGGAGGTCGATGATCCGCCCGCCTTCGTCCAGACGCCTTCTTCCGTCTGACTATCAAGGAAGTCCTTGAGAATATTGTCAGGAGAAGCCGCGCGTTCAGAGTCGTCATCTTCGACAACAGGATTTTTATCCCTTCGGAAGCTTGACTTGCCACTCCTCATCGAGGGAACATACGGAATGAACTCCCCGATAAACGGATCCTCTTCATAAATCGGAGAATCCGCAAAGAGTCGAGATCGGAAGAGGGCAACCGCTTGGCGGATGCGTTGCGGAGAAAAACTGCACCAACCAACTTCACCACATTTGAGAGAAGTGGTGATGTTCTGGAGATCCGCGGGATACGGAGGCAAAGGGTTGGTCACTGCGGAAAAACAGAAACGAATAAAAAAAAATAATAAGAGGAAGAAGATTCGTACGAACTCGATTCACATACCTTTCCGACCCCACGTGGTCGTAAAAAGCGGAATGCAACCCTCCTCGACGGACGCACTGTCGATACGAACGTAGAAGAAATTTTTCTTCCAAGAAGTAGAGAGCGTTTAGCAGCCCGTAATAATTTCGTCACGAGGGCATAGAGTGATCCTCTGCGATTGCCCCGTGGGCTTCAAAAGACTCTCGAGATGATCAACGTTAAGGGTAATTCCCTGCTCATAACTCAGCGTCAGGAGACCAACGAGTTGCTTTAAACCAGGGGGAGTCAGCTGACTGATCGATAACCCCAGCCTGTGAAGGTAATGAACAATGATTTCCGGGATCGGAAACCATAAGTGGCATTGTTGCAAGAAAATGTTGTAACATGTGAAAAAACCCTCGGGCGCATCCTTGTCGCCCTCCCCGGCAAGTGGGAGACGAAACTCGACAGCCTCTGGAACTCGGCAAAATTCGCGCATGTAATCGATACTGTTAAAAAGAGCCNAGGTAATGAACAATGATTTCCGGGATCGGAAACCATAAGTGGCATTGTTGCAAGAAAATGTTGTAACATGTGAAAAAACCCTCGGGCGCATCCTTGTCGCCCTCCCCGGCAAGTGGGAGACGAAACTCGACAGCCTCTGGAACTCGGCAAAATTCGCGCATGTAATCGATACTGTTAAAAAGAGCCGAGCTCGGATATCTGGAAGTTTGATCGACGTCCGACAAAGCTGGAACCCAAGTCCCAGGCCTAGCGGACCTCGACTCATCTCCCAGCGCCCAAAAAGCCTCACGGTCCGTCGGATCGATTAAAGGGGACGAATATTCTTCTTTCGGAGCTGAAACTGGAGGCCGCGAGCTCGTTCCCTCAGAATTGCGAGAATTGGAGCTAGTTGAGGAACGAGTACATCTTCCTGAAAACATGTTTGAAGATCCCCAAAGAAAGTAGAGAGAAAAGTTTCTTGGATAAGTTGTAGAAAATGGGGTAAAGAATTCAAAATTTTACTCCATCTACTTATAAGGAAGAATTTTACTATTCACCCTTGGACTTTTGGCCATTAAAGTTCCGCCTAATTCTACCAAACTCACCAAACAGACTCAATCCACTCGCAAGAACCACACGATCCTTACGAGCTGGGGGCTAACTGTTGGGGTCAAAATCGGTACGACGGAATCAATAGCCAAAACTTCCCGCAAAAATATAAAAGGAATAGTTTCATAAAACCCAAGAGGTCGTTTTATAAAATGAGAAGCCGTTTTATAAAACTCGCAGATCGTTTTATAAAACTCGAGAAGCCGTTTTATAAAACTCGAAGATCGTTTTATAAAACTCGAAGATCGTTTTATAAAACACGAAAAGCCGTTTTATAAAACTCGAAGATTGTTTAATAAAACTCGAGAAGCCGTTTTCTAAAACTCGAGAAGCCATTTTATAAAACTCGAAGACCGTTTTATAAAACTCGAAGATCGTTTTATAAAACTCGAGAAGCCGTTTTATAAAACTCGAAGACCGTTTTATAAAACTCGAGAAGCCGTTTTATAAAACTCGAAGACCATTTTATAAAACTCGAAGATCGTTTTATAAAACTCGAGAAGCCGTTTTATAAAACTCGAAGACCGTTTTATAAAACTCGAAGGTCGTTTTATAAAACTCGAGAAGCCGTTTTATAAAACTCGAGAAGCCGTTTTATAAAACTCGAAGACTGTTTTATAAAACTCGAAGGTCGTTTTATAAAACTCGAGAAGCCGTTTTATAAAACTCGAGAAGCTGTTTTATAAAACTCGAAGACCGTTTTATAAAACTCGAAGATCGTTTTATAAAACTCAAGAAGCCGTTTTATAAAACTCAAAGATCGTTTTATAAAATTCGAGAAGCCGTTTTCTAAAACTCGAAGTTCGTTTTATAAAACTCGAGAAGCCGTTTTATAAAACTCAAAGATCGTTTTTATAAAACTCGAGAAGCCATTTTATAAAACTCGAAGATCGTTTTATAAAACTCGAAAAGCCGTTTTATAAAACTCGAGAAATCGTTTTACAAAACCGCGAAAAACCGAAACAGCCACGAAGTGCGAACTAGAGGCTCACCAACTAGTTCGCCTGCTGGTGAACTAAGCCAAGCTGGCTTAGTTCGCCAGCAGGCGAACTAGACGGTCCCGGACTAGTTCGCCTGCTGGCAAACTAGGCACCCCATGGCTAGTTCGCCTGCTGGCAAACTAAGCCAGCCCGGCTTAGTTCGCCAGCAGGCGAACTGGGACCTCCTCGGCTAGTTCGCCAGCAGGCGAACTAGAGATCTCCCTGATCTCCCGGATCTCCCGCGGCCCCGATTCGAACCTTACGTCCTTCGACACGGTCACATTCTGAACCACGGCCAAAATGTCTCTCGTTTCGTCTAGATCCGACTTATCGTTTGAATTCTACAATAAAAACCGTAAAACTCCGTTTTTCCCGAAAAGAACTCGAAGAAATCGTATAAAACGGTAACAGTCGAGTAAAACACCGAACATCGCCTAAACTATACGATTTATCTGAGATTTTTCGTTAAGATTATAAAAACGTGTTTTTAATAAAAACGGTCGAGAAAATCGTTAAAAACGGCATCGGATCAGGAAACGGTCTAGTATAAAGGAGTAAAACGGTTTTTATCGTATAACGGCCCGTGAGGTCCTAAAACACGATAAAAACCCATCTCGCGACATTAATGAAATCAAACCCGAAGATACGATAACGTTTTGACGGTTTACTCGCAGACGGAAGATAGAAGGCAAGTTTGAAGATAAATAAAAGATTTCCGCGGAAGAAAAGGAAGGATCGACAGATATGGAAAGTTCCCGATATATTCGGTTTCGAGCGAAATGGAAAGACTAAAACCGCATAAGGAGGAGTATATAAGGAGGAGGCATAGGGCAGAAGCTGGGACACGATTTTCAGAGCTCTCAACACCAAAATTAGCATTTAGAATATTTCCGTTTTCTGTTAGCGAGTTGCGTCTCAATTAGGGTTTTTCGTTCTTAAGTTTTCGGCTGCTCTTTTTGTACCAGTTCTTACGCAAATTCGGAATAAGAACCTCTTTGCTCTCAGTTTTGTTTATTCTTTTAAAATTCTAAGTTTATCATTTTCTTAATCTTCGTTGTGCGGTTCTGCAGATAGCCGGTTCCTCTGGAAACTTAGGGTTTTCCCGAAGTTTCCTTTTTTACGATTTATTGACAGTAGGTGGATTTCGGTTCCCACACTTATGGTCAACGATTCAACAATTCTGCCTATAGGGAGATTGTGGGATATTTGTAGTGACAGGGGATTTATTGACATGGGTATATCATCCAATGTCACTGTATATAAAGTAATTCATGGACATAACCGAAGAAACCACAGAGTATTATAGCTGAAAAGAGTAGACACTAAAAGAAAAATCAGTATTAATAGCACCCGAAAAACGTTACCATAGGGTTTTCGTAAAGTTTTTATAAATGATCTTACAGCCGCAGCTATAATAGACACCCCCATATCATAGCATATTTTCGTGTGTTATAATAGTTAAAGATTCTAGCATTTATTCTTGAGCTATATATTCGTACTATGATTTATTTTCTTATGGCATTTTTTTAGTGCTGTAAAATATTTTATAATGAATTAATATAATGCTATTACATCTTCTTTATATTTAAAATGTTAATTTTTATTATTTAATTTTATTATTAATTAAATTGTAATATAAATTAAAATTAATCGAAATCTAATTAAAGTTGGATTATATTTATTTAAAAAATAATAATTTACAAATAAAATTAGTTTTACAAAATTTAACCAGTACAAAAATATGAAGTAAACAAGAACAGTCTAAACCATAAACTAATTAACCAAAATCTAAACCGAATTAACCAAAACCTAATTAACTCTAAGCCTAATCTCTCTGCGCTGCCGCCTCCTCCTTCCTCCTTTGCCTCTCTTCCGACGTCTTCCTCTATTCTGTATCCATCTACGGCACCATGGATGACGACGACGACAAGTTCGAAACCGCTGACGACAAGGAACTCGAGACCGTTGACGACGCGGCGAGACAGATGCGAGTTCGAGACCACCACTGTTTACGCCTAGACCACCACCATCAGCCTTCTTCTGCCTTCTACACCTTCTTTAACTAAGAACAGAAAAAGAAAACCAGAATCAAAACGCTGAGAGAAAGAGAGAAAGAGAGAGCTAGAGGGTTACCCGTGGTGGTGGAGAACGTCATATGGGCAAACCAGACCGGATCTTAAGGAGATTGACATACCAAATGACTCCAAAGAACAACCCTAGATCTGTTGCCCATCAAGTACTTGACGGTAGAAACAGCGGCTTGAATCCTGGTGGCTGGTGCCATCAGTGATGTTGGAGCTATCATTCAAAGACAGGTTGAGATCAACTCTCACAAAAGGAGAAGAAGCATAGTAGAAGAGAACAGAGACTAGAACAGAGATGAGAGATGAGAGAAGACGTATCGACGACAGAGGAGGAAAGAAGGAAGAAAAATAATAATTAAAGTAGATTAATTTCAGCCTTCAGATCAACACTCATCAACGGCCAAAATTAAAAATAGGTGATCCCACTTTTTTCTAAATGAACCAATCAGAACAAAACGATTGTTGACCTTTAGATTCAATTTAATGAATGGTCAAGATTGTGATCCGCATACTTGTTTCTAATTGGCTCTTTCTAATCTAGATATATCTTTTTGTTTTTGTACTCTTTTGCTTCTTGATTAATGGTTTTATTTAAATTTTTGGAAGCTCTAACTTAAAAAAATGAATTGTAATTTAAAATTTAGAATTAAAAATATATATATTTAACTTTAAGATTTTTAGTTAGAGGTTAGAATATATAATTAACTTGGGGTATGATATATATGTCTATAGTTTAGGGTTAAGTTTTGGGGGTTAAAGGTATGATATAAAGTTTGGGCTAAGTTTTGAGGTTTAGGGTTTAATGTACACCAAACTTCATATAGTATCACACTGAAATTTTATTTAAATTTTGAAGTTGTGTGATTGACTAAAATTAAAAATTAAGATTGGATGTTTTATGATATAGTTCAATATAAGGAATGTGGTTTAGGGTTAGGATTTATAATTAAGTACATGGTTTAAGTTTTAGAATATATTTGCAGTTTAAGTTTAAGTACATGGTTTAGGGTAAGGATTTATAATTTTTATTATAAATTTGAAAATAATATATTTATGACTTTGTATGCCAAGGTTTAAGTTAGGGTTTAGGGTATTTGATTTAAAGTCTAGATTTAAAATTTAGTATTTGAGGTTTAGAATTTAAATTTGAGATTATATTTAAAATGGTTAAATTCTGAATTTAAATTTAAGATTGAAATTATATTATGAAAATATTAAATTTTAAAGTTTATATTTAAGGTATAGAACATGTTTAGGGTTTTGTTTTCTTTTTTAAACAAAAATTTAATTATCAATTTTTATCCTTTAATTTTACATTCAACACATATAAATTAAAAATACAATAATGATAATTTTATTTTCAAATCAAAACTTTAAACATAACCTTTATAAATATCATTCTTTTTGTTAATCCTTCTCTTCTTCATTGGTAAAAATATATTGCAATAGTTATAAATTGCAAATTGATTTATAACTAAAATATATATATTGCACTAAATTCATAAACCACACATTTTTCATATAATCATTCAAGTCTTACACTAACACTATAGAAGCCTTAAACTAACAACATAAGTTTTTGCCAAATAAGGTGGATTGCGCTTTAAGGTTTAAACCCTTCTTCTCTGCACTTTACAGCAAACTTTGAAGCTTAAACATGAGAACTATCGGAATCTGAACATAAGCCATTACAAAGATCTTTTGATAAAAAAAAATAAAGAGCCTTCCACTTTTTTTCTTTCAACCCCATTAAGAGTCTACAACAATTCTAAGTTCCATCACCAAACACTAGGAAATGCATATATACACCAACGAGGAGGTTCTGGACCCATAGACAACAACTAAGACGAAGAGGCTCATACCATGAAATTTAACTTTCCAAAGGAGAATAAACCTCTCCCAATGAAATTTAAACCCACGCCCTTAAAGATATCTAATAGATAACCTAGGAGTTTTAACCATTAGACCAACTAGTGGTGGTATCCGTATGCTAATTACTAAAAACAATTGCTGAGTTTTGTTTGCAAACACACAGGAACAAAACTGTACAGGAGGAGCTACAAGTTAGAACAAAACTGTAATATCTGTGGTGATTGTATTTGAAGCCCCACCAAATAATTTCTACAAAGGCTCTCTAACGCTTTTAGCAGCAGTATCAATCATAGCCATCTCCATCACCGCTCTTACCTTCATCCATTAACAACATTCTCTTTATCAATACATATACAAAGAACAAAGAAAGCTATATGATTAAGCATAAACAAGCTACGGCATTCATTCATACATCAATATGGAAAACCATTAGTAGTAACTAAAATCTTCAGAATTTACCGACACAAATCTATGCCCATGTAAAATCCAACAGATCTCGTCAAGAACGTGATAACGTAATGCTGAGCTATGCTAGAATCGTCTTGCCGTTCATGAAAACAACGAGACATAACTTAACCGTAGAAGATTCCGAGTTAAGAACAATCTTCAAACGACTTGAATTAAAAAGAGAATTACAGAGTTGTATCAGACTTTAAGAAAAAGTTTACAAGATTTCCTGAATGAATCAACCAAAGAATCTATCTTCTTCTTAATAACCGAGTCAACTCAACTCGTAACTCGTTTGTTACAATTACTCCACGCGTCACTCTCTCACTGGATACTCCTACTTCTGTTAACTTCTCCTAACGGCTTCTCCTACCACCACTCTCCTTTTGCCACCTGTCTTCCATCTCATTAACTCTGCAACAAATCTCTCTCCTTCAAAAAAGCTTGACCACAAGCTTAAGTAGCAAAAGTTGGGAACTTTTTCTGCAACTCATATAACCATTCCCAAGTTGCTTCCTCTTCCGTCTCATTTACCCACTTCACCAGCACCATAGTAGCAGCTTTGTTCTGACGTTTCACCATCTTCCTTCCCAAACAATACTCAGGAACACGAACTTGATCATCACGGATCATTGAGGGAAGAGAACCCACAAACTTCTTAAGTTGAGAAACGTGAAACACATGATGGATTTGAGAACTTCCTGGTAACTCCAACTTGTAAGCTACAGAGCCGTGCTTATCCTGAACCTTATAAGGGCCATAATACTTCGGAGCTATCTTCTGATTTTCCCATATCACTAGTGACTGTTGCCGATAAGGCTGCAGCTTAACATATACAAAATCTCCAATATCAAAGCTTCTCTCACTCTTATGTTGACCTGCATGTTGTTTCATACGGTGCTGAGCACGCATCAAATGAAACTTCAGCAACAACAACATCTTTTCCACTTTCCTCCAAACTCTTCGCCACCACTTCTACTTTAGACTTTCCTGGTAAGTAAGGAAGATGCACTAGCGGTACCTATCCATACAAATCTTATATGGTGTAGTGGGTATAGCCGTGTGAAAATTAGTGTTGTACCAATACTCTGCTAATGGTAACCACTTAGACCACATGTAAGGCTTCTCACTAGACATACATCTCAAATAAGTCTCCACACAACGGTTAACCACTTCAGTCTCGCCATCGCTCTGAGGATGGTAAGATGTTGAAGTGTTGAGAGAACACCCCTGTAGCTTGAATAACTCCTGCAAAAATCGCTCAAGAACACCGTATCACGATCACTCACAATAGACCGAGGGAATCCATGTAGTTTATAGACATTATCCAAAAATGCCTGAGCCACTGAGACAGCTGAATATGTGTGAGAAAGAGCCATAAAGTGAGCAACCTTGCTCATTTTATTCACCACTACAAAGATCACTGTTTTACCAAACGATTTCGGTAAGCCATCAACGAAATCCATAGAGATATCCACCCACACTGCTTCAGGAATTGGCAACGGCTGTAAAAGACCAGGATATGCTGCATTGTCGTACTTACACCTCTGACATACTCTACAACTTCTCAAATAAGCTTGTATGTCCTTCATCATACCCTTCCAGTAAAAGATTCCTTTGATCCTCTGCATAGTGACGTCTCTACCAGAGTGACCACCCTGACTAGAACCATGTAACCACTCAAGAATCATGTTCTTTAACTCCACTACTGCAGGTACCACAATCTTACTTTTTCGTCGCAAAACTCCCTATGTCCACGAGTAATACTTCTTTGATTGCGGTTTTGCTTTCTGCAGTTATGTTCTTCGTGATCACGTTAGTATCATATGATTCTTTAGTTTTCTGCAAAATATCACACTCCAACATGGTCATAGACATATGCAATATCTCAGAACCTTCGGCCCTGGGCAAAGCGTCTGTTATCTTTCCCCTATTTGTATTGAATCTCATAATCAAATTCGAGTAGCTTAGGTAGCCATTGTTGTTGTATAGGTGTATTCAATCTCTGCTCCAACAAATACTTAAGACTCCTTTGATCCGTTCTGATTACAAAGTGGTTGACTAACAAGTAGTGTCTCCACTTTTGAATTGCAAATACAACTGCCAAAAGTTCCTTCTCGTAAATGGAAAGATGGAGCTGTTTTCTTTTCAAATGTCTACTGCTTTAGACAAAAGGATGACCCTCCTACATCAAGACTGCTCCAATACCAGACCTACAAGCGTTTGTTTCCACCACAAAACCCTTACCAAACTGCGGTAAAGCAAGTACTGGGGTAGAACATAGAGCCTTCTTCAACACGTCAAAAGAGTTTTGTGCCTCTGCATTCCACTGAAAACCATGTTTTTTGGTCAATGAGGTAAGGGGTCTTGCTCTAACACCAAAGTTCTTAACAAACCTTCTATAATATCCCGCAAGTCCTAAAAATCAACGCAAAGCTTTAAGATTCTTAGGTACCGGCCATTCCACCACCGCTTTGATTTTACTTGGGTCTGTTGACACACCTTCAGCTTGGATAAAATGTCCCAAGTACTCTACCTTCTCTGTTGCAAAAGCACACTTGCTTCTTTTGGCCAATAACTTGTTTCTGCGCATCAACTCAAACACCACACGAATATGCTTCAAATGAACCTCCAAGTTTTTTCTATAAACCAGAATATCATTAAAGAAGATCAATACAAAATACCTTAACAAGTTTCTGAAAACTGCATTCATAAGACCCTGAGGTGCATTTGTCAGACCGAAAGGCATCACCACATATTCATAACATCCACTATGTGTTCTGAATGCTGTCTCTCTCTCTCTCTCTCCTCTCTCTCTCTCTCTCTCTCTCTCTCTCTCTCCCTCCCTCTCTCTCTCTCTCTCCCTCCCTCCCTCTCTCTCTCTCTCTCTCTCTCTCTCTC